AACAGGAGCGGCTTCACCAGGCGGCGCGGCGAGGGACGGCCGGCGGCCGTGGTGGGTGACGGCGGGCAGAGGCTGCGGCGCGGGGGCGGCGGGCCGGGCCGCGCCTCGGTGGCGGCTGCCGGGGGCTCTTCGGGCCGCGGCCGCGCCCGGCGGAAACCCCGCCGCGGCTGCAGCAGCAGCAGCGCCAGCCTGCGGGGGAAACATGCGAACCGTCAGCACCGCCCGCCCCAGCCGCCTCTTCCCTCCCTTACCCTCCCCGTCCCTTGCCGTGCCGGCGGCACCTGTGCGGCCGCGGACCCCCGGCGCGGGCCCAGCACCGCCACGCCATGTTGGCGCCTCCCCAAGCGCTTCCGGGGCAGCCGGTCGACATCTTCCCGCCGATGGCGGGGGAGCCGCTCGGTCACCGCATGGCAAAGGGTGGGCGCGGCTCCCTGCGGCTCCTGTGCCGCTCCGCACCGCGGGTGGATGGGCGCCCGCGCAGCTCCCGGTGCAGCAGCCGAGGCTCAGCGGGCAGCGCCCGTGTGGGAGCCTCCCCGGGGCCGCGATGTCGGGTGGGTGGTGCCTGCTCTGCCGCCATGATGAGCGTGGCAGCGCCTTCACCGCCGCGCCCCCCTTGGAGGGCAGCGCTGGCGCCGTGAGGCCGGGGGCTGCCGTGATTTCACAGAATCAAATATGCTGAGTTGGACGGGACCCACAAGGATCATCGAGTCCAGCTACTGGCTCTGCACAGGACCATCCCTAAGAATCCCACCGTGTACCCCTGAGTGTTGTCTAAATGCTTCTTGAACTCTGTTACGTGTGGTTATGCAGCCACTTCCTTAGGGAACCTATTCCAGTGCCCAGCCACCCTCCAAATAAAGAACCTTTTTTAAATATCCAACCTAGACCTGCCCTGACACAATTTCAGGCTGTTCCCTTGGGTCCTGTAACCGGTCCCCTGTGCCTGCCCCTCCTCTAACCCTCATGAGGAAGTCGCAATGAGGTCTCCTCCAGGCTGAACAGACCAAGTGTCCTCAGCCTCTTCTCTCATATGGCTTCTCAAGGCTCTTCTCCATCCTTGTGGCCCTCCTGTGGACACTCTCGAATAGCTTAATATCTTTTTTTCTATTGTGGTGCCCAAAACTCCCTCCAGGACTCGAGGTGAAGCCATGTCTGAGCACAGCAGACGGGAACAACCCCCACCCTGGCCCGGCTGGCGATGCTGTGCTGCTGCCCTCCAGGACACAGCAGGCCTTCCTGGTTGCCAGGGCACTGCTCATTCATATTCAACTTGCTGCTGACCAGGACCCCCAGGTCCCTTTCCACAGCACTTCTTTCCAGGGTCTTGTTCCCCAGTTTGTAGGCACCTTGGGGTTGTCCCATCCCAGGTGCAGAATCCAACACTTTCCCTTTTTAAGCCTCACACAGCTGGTAATTGCCCAGCCCTCTGATTTATCAAGGTCTCTCTGTAGGGCTGATTTATTGTACTGCTCTCTAGAAGCCTTGTGGAATAGGCAGAGCCAGTTTCTGCCTAGCCTGCAGCAGCCCAGGAGGCGAGGTGGAGGCTGGAGCTGCTGCCTCAGCATTGCCTTGCTGCGTGTGTGGCTCCACATCACCTTGCCACACCTCAGCACCTTCCCTCCCCGGGCTCCTCTGCCCTGCCCTGCCCCGCTTCACCCCACCCCACCCCACCTCACCTCACCTCACCTCACCTCGCTTCACCACTGGGATGCTCCAGCAAAGGGCTGCTGGATGACAGGATTCCCACCCCACTAGCTCTTTCCAGTCTCTTCCCTGTATCTGTATCAAGAATAGTTTGGCCAGCAGGATCAGGGAAATGATCATGCCCTGTACTCGGCATGGGTGAAGCCACACCTTGAGTTCTGCGTCTGGTTTTGGGCCCCTCACTTTAAAAAGGACATTGAGGTGCTGGAGCGTGTCCAGCGAAGGGCACCAAGGCTCGTGAGAGGTTTAGAGCACTTGTCTGACGAGGAGTGGCTGAGGGAGCCGGGGCTGTTTGGTCTGCAGGAGCTCAGGAGGGACCTCCTCGCGCTGTACAGCTCCCTGGCAGGAGGCTGTAGTGAGATGGGGCCAGTCTCTTCTGCCATGTCTGCAGAGAGGGGACCAGAGGAAATGGCTTTAAGAGAGGCGGGAGAATCAGATTAAATATTAAAACATATTTTTCCCTGTTCAGGGGGTCAGACATGAGGACAGGTTGCCAGGGAGGTGGTGGAGTGCCCACCCTGGAGGTGCTCAACAGGCACCTACACCTGGTGCTGGGTGATGTGGTCTAGTGGCTTAGGGGTACAGGAGCAGTGCTGGGTGGACAGTTGGAGTGGATGATCTGAAAAGTCTCTTCCAACCTCGGTGATTCTATGACTCTGTAGTTACCCACACATGCCTGAGCAGGTGCTACAGTTGCCCCTGTGGTCCCCTTGCTGCCACCAAGGTGCCTGGTCTCTGGCACTGTGCTGCTCTTCCCAGCACCATCTCCATGCCAGCAAAGCTCTGCAGGGCTGGAGAGCTGTGTTAGCAGAGAAAAGTCCACTGTACACACCGCCAGCCTCTTGAAATTAAATGGGAAAAGAAAACAGGTATTTGCATTGAAAGAAGCTTGTGAGTCTTAAGAAGTTGCATGCCCCTTCCTGGTTGCCTGTTTTGCCATGGACATACTCATGGGACAGCAAAGCCACCTACACAATGCCAGACATGCCTGGGCCACCAGGCAGAGTGCAGAGCTACCAAAATCCAGCAGCAGAAAAATCAGAGGTGCACGTGGAGGACAAGAGGCAGCAGTCACGTATGCAGCAGGAAAAGTTCTGCATGGGTGAGAGGAGCACGCTCCACAGGAGAATGTTGTGCAAATTCAGCTCTGGAGACCCCTCTCTTGTGACCGGATAAGGCTTGGGTGACCTGACCCAACACTGTAACTCTGCTTTAGTGGGAGGCTGACATCTGTGTGGCCCCAAGTTATTTTGTAGTTCATTATGTGAAGGCAAAGTTAATAGCAAGATGAGAGTGATCTGGATATTATAATTGCAAGCGGTTATAAGACTGATTCATTTATTAAGATGTTATGACAACTTCAGGAACAAAGTTACAAAGTCATATTCTTTGGAAGTGGTAGGAAATGAATTAACATTGTTCCTCTTTTTTATTTTTTATTTTACTTTTTCCCCTTACCTAGTAGTGAAAAGAGTTTGCCTTCTCACCCCAAGGTCAGATTCTGATGAGGGAAAAACTCTGTGAGCTGTGGTGGGAAACTGCTCTAAGTGGTTTAGTACCGTATTTAAATTTGCATTTTATCTCTTTCTGATTGCGCTGGTGGCCATGGGTCAGCCTCAGAATTTACCTGAACTAAGAAGTGATTAGTAGGTTCAAAGACATTTATTGCTGATGTTAGAAATTTATATATAAATGAAAACCAGTGTTGTAATAAATGCTTTTTTTCCTGTTTTGCTGCATAACAAAATAAAAAAGAAGTAAAAGAGGTTTTTAACTTTCCATTTTAGACACTTACCACTCATTTTTGCTTCCAAAGACCTTATCAGGAGTAATTTGTTTATTTAAGTTACTTCAATATTTTTCTTTGCTAACCTTTCCTGTGCTGTGTTCAAACCACGTACATTTTGGCTGTGCTGTTTTTAATGTTGTTACAGTGATCCTTTTGCTCCCCCAGGGTTTGTTTTTATCACATTATAGCTCTTACTTGCATATAACCTATATGTGTACTTTGTGAGGGAAGATGCTCTGGACTTTGTGTATTTATTCCTTTTTGGTTTATTGTCATTCTCCTTTGGACAGTTGCGATGCATATTTGCTATCAGCTGTGCCATCACCTCAAACTTATAAACATGGCACTGTGTGACAGCTGGTACAATCAGGTCCTGTAGGGTGGGGTGTCCGTGGGATGGGCTGAAAGGGGATGGATGTGCTGTTGGAATAAAGTATTATCTGGACAGTCCTATGGGGTTTGTGTGGTAGAAACAGGGTCAGGAAGGGGTGATGAGGGAGGAAGGCAAAGAGAGGAGGCAGTGCGGCAGCAAAGTGGCCGCAGAGCTGTCCCAGGCTGCCAGTCCTTCGGCCGTGAGCCAGGGAGGTCTGTCCTGCAGTCACAAACAGTTTGGTTTGGTAATGTCATCCACTGCACAGGTGTCCAGCTGCATATTTCTTCTTTAGAAGAAATGGTTTTAGGTAAACCAGCCATTGTGGAAGTTGTAGCAATGTTTCTGCAGTGCTTTGCTCTCCAGTGGTGCTTGGGCAGCTCGGTGGCCCTGACAAAGCAAATTATATGCCAAGTTAAGCTGAGTATATTTGGAACTAATTTACATAATTTCCTGGTAATTTTCCCTTTTGACATGCCAGGTCTTTGTGCAACAGTTGGACAGAGCTTTGGCCCTGGGTCCTTGATTTTTAGAATAGGACAAAGGTCCTGAAGAGTACAAAATTTTGTTTGGGTGGTCGAACTGGTCCTCACAAAGTGCTGACACTACTATATAGCAGGAAGGTAGAGAAAAGGATTAGAAACATACCATAAACGTGAGTATCACAATTTATCTTGCTTTAAATTTGTATTGGTAGACATTGTAATTGGGAGATGAATAATTTACTAAAACATTTGATAGTTTTAATTTTTACATGAATTTTGAGTTAGCAAGCAAGTAACAAATGGATGAAACATTGCAAATTAAAATTAGAGAATTCTTTGGTTGTCTCCTGTGGTTTTGCTCTGTTTGCATTTTTTAGTGGTAAATGTGTACAATAATAAAAGTTTTCCTAAGAAAAATAATGTATTAATGTGAATAATAATATTCAATTATTCTAGTTACTTGATGAGATTTAGATTCCACCTCTACCGTTCCCTTGTGTGATACATTATGTTGTAGGTAGGCATTTTTTAAACGTTTTTGCAAAGGTCAGGCTCGTGTAAAGGTAACTCCATACTTTATGTATGAACTGTTTCAACAGGTTTCTAATACCAGAAATTTTGGGGAACATCTTTGAGGAAAACTTCTGTCACAATGGCATCATCCTGTCTGCAGATTTGTGCATTGCTGCTGGCTTTAGCAGGATTCGCTACATCACTTATTACTGCCATGTCCAGCAGATGGAAGGTTTTGGACACCACAACAGAGCTGGTTACTGCAGACTGGGTTTCTGAAGGTCTTTGGATGGACTGTGCAGCAACTGCTCTTGGATCAGTAGAGTGCAAGAAATTTCTCTACATGCTGAGTTCAGACCGTAAGTGAACTCAGTAGTCATGGTATATATTCATAAAATCCAAAGATGGGTTTTGTCCTTCTTTCTGGGCAGTGTGTTAGCAGGTTGAGGGGCACAGAGTGCAGTTGTCCAGAGGGCACTGCAGTTCTCTGTGCTTTACAGTTCTCTGTGCTTTATTTCCACTTGCCTTCTTCTCCATCAGTGTCTCTCACTGAATTAAAATAACTTCCAGCTTTCAATTTTGTTTCTCAATGTGGTGTGCTTACCCTATGTATACAAAAGAAGGAAAAGGGTTAGGGCAAGATAAAATCCCTGTATACCAAAACCTGTCTCTGGTATGATGACATACCGAACAAAGCATTGCAGCTAAAATTCAGCCTAAGGATTGCAGTGGTGCACATGTGTGTGCTTTAAGTGGTAGCACAATGTCACCTGCATCTTTGTGCTGGGATATCAGGGAGCAGCCATGCACTGGAGGTGTCAGAACAGCCGTGTGGGCTGTATGTCTAGTATGGCCAAATCCTGTTGTGGTTGCAGGCACTTTAAAGGGCCACCAATGAAATGAAAACCAATGTTTCACCCTGCAGTTCAGCTCGGTCACTGCTGTGGCTTTGCTGCCCTCTCTGGTGCATTGACATAGAGGTATGGGTGATAGACAGTAAATCTGAGAATTTTTAAAAAATAGTTTTGGAAGAAATAGCATCTTTTCACTCAGCCCAGTTCTTTGATACAAGCATAGTTCCATGAGCACTGGTGTTTGTTTGTGCTTTAGTGTGAGACAGCATTATTAGATATTACAGAACTGGTTTGATACTTTGTGCTAAACCTGTGTACCTGGATATTTTTTCTGGATTTTCTCAGAGGTAGTGAGCTTAGACTAAAATACATCTGTGCAATGGATGCTTCTGTGTTTTCTAGGGTCAACCATGCTAGCAGGGTAGCAGTTCATCTGCAGCTAGAAAAAGAAGAAATGTCTCAGTAGGGGCTGGAAAGTATTTGTTTGAATAGTTATGGATTTTAAAACTATCTTTCTGTAACCACTGTCTTTATGGTAAAGGATAGGAAGGACTGACATTGAAGTTGTTTCCTCAGCAGACTGAGTGTAGAAACAGTAACGCTGTAGCCTTTGGAAATAGTATTTTGTTAAGCTTTCTGTCTTGAACATAACCTTGCATTTATTCCTTTACAACTTTCAGTTTTCTGCAGTCACTTTATGAGTGATGTTAATATAATTTCTTCAAGTCTTCTGTGCTTTATAGGTTCCTGATTGCTGTCATTGCTATTTGTCTGGACTCTTCCAGCAGTTTTATTCTGAATGTGCAGTGCTTAAACCTTAAAAATACCACGTGTCACAGACTATGAACCTTGCTTTTCTTGACACAGATGTGGACTTCCTTGGAGTCAGAGCTGCCTAACTGTAATGCAGATCTCTAAAGGATGAGAGTTTAACTCTCAAGATGCAGCATGTTCATGGTTCTTCTGCAGGACCCTCACTTTGGTGGCCTCATCTGCCTTCATAATGGGGAGGCCAGTTTAAGAATAAGTATCAGCATCCCATAATGAGGCCAGAGTTTGTAGCCTCAAAAGGAGGCTAATCACATGCTTCCGAGGATTTTAAAAACATTGCTGATTGCATCAGAGGCAATGTCAGCTTTTCACATCATGTTGGTACCTGTTCGGCTCCTCTCCAGGGTCTCCTCTGTGTAGGTACCAGGATGCCTTAAGAGTTGGTGTTGACAGCTTCATATCAGCACCTTCCACAGCTTGGGAGCGTTCTGGAAATCACAGTGATGAGATGGGGCCAACAATGACAGCGTTTGGTTCAACTGACTGGGTTAGAGCAAGCCCAAAGGAACGCGCCCAAGCTGTGGAAGGTGCTGATGTGAAGCTGTCAACACCAACTCTTAAGCCCTGCTGATGCAGAGCCTCTTGCAGAGCAGTACTGGCTGTTAGGCCCATTGCCTGAAAAGCCACAGTTTACAAAATTTAGTGAAGAATAGCCTTATGGTCTTTAACACATTGGAGAGTGATTTTCTGAAGGGAATTATTAAAATGCCTGGTGCTGTGTAGGAAAACTCATGCACTTGAGGTCTGCAGTTTAATCTTTTGTTTATATGTGTGCTGTATGATGCCAGTTGAAACACATTTCTTAACTAAGAAGAGATTTTTTAAAAATTATACTCTTAATTTTTTATTGCATCCTTGGCAGCAGTATAACTGCCGTGGACACTTGATTCAAGGTCCCAACTATCTCACCTTTGAAAGTGCTGTCAGCAGAAGTGATTGCTGAGATCACCAGCATGGCACCAGTGTATGGATAAATTAGCTGGAAATTCTTTGAAGGGCTTTTAATGAAATGCAGATACTCCATGGTACTGGTACAGTGTGTTCATTTTACTGTGCCATCATTTTTCAAGTTGCAGTGACTAAGCAGAAGGAGGGAATTCTGTAACAGTCACCTGAGATCAATTCCTACCACACACTATCTGGTTTCCTTAAAAGATTGCAAGTTAAGAGCTGCACAGGATCACAGTGCCAAATCTGGTCTTGTTTAAATCAGTGGCAATGATTCTCTTGGCTGCCATGGGAACCAAAATGTCATAGTGGCACTGTAATACCCTTTGGCAGCTGAACCTACCAACCCACAGCATCAGCTCAAAGTGACAGTGAATTTTGATGAAAAACAACAAATACCTGTTAGGGACGAGTTGTGGGTCTCTCAAAGGCTAATCCTTCTGGTAGTGTTTACATAAATGCTGTGGAACTGTTACCAGGTTGCATCATAGCAGAATTATTTTATGAAGAAACTCTGACTCCATTTCCTGGAGATAAGGGCAGGTTATCACTGCAAAAGATGGTTAACCACGTTTGGATCCACAAGTACTTTAAAGCATTAACATGAGTGGGTGATGTGAATTGAGGCTACCATTCTGTGTAGCCAAGGGCAGAAGCAACTAAACTGAATTTTACATATGCTTTGCCTACAGTAGCTTTTTTTTTAATCCTGGGGTATTCTAACAAACAGATGCAATTTATTGCAATGTATTATTTTTCTTATAGCTGTTTTTCTTCATAATTTTATTCCTTTTGAGACAGGTCTGCCACACTAGCTCCTTCATTTCTTTACATTTCAATTCCATGGCACATACATTATTGCAATTTTAATAAATTGTACAACTGTACAGTGTAAGCGGAATGGTTTTTAAGACTGAATGTGTTTAGCTGTAGATCAATAGACAGTAAAATATTAATGGAAACCACTCATCCATAAACTTTACCTTCCTGAAAGAAGCTGGCAGTACAGTTGTTGTGGATTACTTGTGATCATAGCTCCAAAAACTGTGCTAAATTTTCTAGCAGACGTATAAAGATTCTGTTCTCAAGCTGTTTTATATTTGAGTCCTCAAGAGAATATTACACAAAAGCTTTTTGATTTGACAGCAAAATAAAACTAGAAGCAATCTTAATCTAGTGTAAAATCTAGTTGACCTCAGAAAAGAGACAGAAATAAAATATTTGCCTATATTATCACTCTTACAAGGTATTTTGTAGAAATACTGACTGGACTTTCTAGGCTGAGAAAAAGAATAGGCTCATTTTTCACTTCCTATTAGAAAAAGAATTAATGTGGTCACTTTTTTTACATGCTAATATCTTTATCATGAACTGCTCCCACTTCTTATTGTCATGCCCAGTAAGCCTTATCTATGGGGAAAGAGCAAAGAGCAAAGGTAGACTCATTTTGGAGTGAAACCCAGAGATAAAACAGCAAGGAGGCTTCTGAAAGGCTTCACTTAATTGTAATCTAATTATAAGGATATTTACCTGTTACTACTCACAAGCATGACTGCTACATTGGAAATTGTTGGCTTTATTTTGTGCTTGGGTGGCTTGGCAGTTATTGGAGCTACTTTGCCAAATAATTACTGGAAAGTCTCCAGTATACATGGTTCTGTGATCACAACATCTACGTTGTTTGAAAACCTGTGGAAGAGCTGTGCAACAGACAGCACTGGAGTATCCAACTGCAGGGATTTTGACTCTATGCTTGCACTGCCTGGTAGGTGACTTTGTGCAGCTTTTTTATATTGCTTAAAAACTTATTGGCAAAAAGTAGTAAGGCTTTTGTTTTAGTGATCTGGTAATACTGGAAAATAACTGGCCAAGAAGGACTTTGTAGGCTGAAGTAATAAAATTCTCTCAAGCAGCAGAAAGGTTATAAACTAAGGCAAATGAAGTCGGTTGATCAAGCATTTAACAAGCATTTAAAGTGGGTTGTAATCTCTTCTCTAGCATCTCGTGGGTTATCTTAGTAGGAGACATTTTTTAATTATTTATTTATTTGGAATTAATGTGTAGACCTTATTTTGCAATACTTCATAGCTAATGTACCGTAGATGTAGTTTTTCCATGTAATAGGAAATACTGTTTTTAGCTGAGAAGTGGTAGTGGTTTTTGTAAGTTGACATTGAAAATTGTAGATAATCCAAGAAATACATGATAATATGTTAAACATATTATATTATAAGTTATAGAAGGAGTATATGCTATAAATTAATATATCATTAGGCTTGTCAACTAATGCTAACTACTGTCAGTTAGTTAACTGACAGTAACTAAAGTCCATTTAGATGTGGTTTTAAATATCAAGAAATTTAGATCTGCTGGCCCTTGTCCTGTGTATCAGTCTTCATCATAATTGTGGTTGTCCTCAAATGCCCAACTAGGCGATATTCTGTGAAGAGTAGGCATGTTTATAGACAGTAAAGCTATTTTTTTATTAATCTTGAATAATTCAGTATATAGATACTTATTTGGAATAAAAATGCCTTCCTTCTAGCTGAATCTGCCTTAGGAGGTGGCTAAACTACATAGGTAAAAGGGTATTCCTAATCTGAAGAATGTGTAATACAGGATTAGTGGGAACGAGGTGTTAAATTCACTTTCTCCCTCAATCTGAAGTAAAGGCTTGTTGTTGACCAGCTCTAATACTCTCATAGCAATTCTCTGAAACTGTGTCCAGTATTTAGGGAATAAATTCTTTTCATCTTTCTGTTCTTTTCATCTTTCAGTCTTCTCTAACAATTGCTTTTAGAGTGTGTGTGTGTGTATGAAGAGGAACATAACCCTATTTAAGCATTTTAGCCTCAGTAACAGCAGGATCATTCCATCAGACATTATCCTCTGCAGGTTACCTATGTCAGTGTGCACCAGCATTGCTGGGTCAGTACTTGGACTTGACGATCTGAGAGATCTTTGCCAGCCTTAATGATTCTGTGATTTTATCTGATTCTTGTAAAAAACCCTCCAAGGGCTGGTTTGTAGCTTACTGCCACTGACTCCAGGCAGCATCTTGTCATTGATGTGTTTACTCACTCACTGGGGTGAGTATGTGCACATTTGGGCCATGGGCTCACAGGACATCAGCATCTGGAGAAAAAAGTGGGTTTGAAAGAACCTGGTGGGGGACAGAAAAGAGCACCACAAGTGTTAAAGCAAACAGAACAGAAGGCAAGAAACAGCAGGGCTCCTGAGAGCTACAGATAACAACATGGAGTCAGCAGTAAGGAGAAAAGTGGAGCCAGAAAGTAAATGACTGGGACAGGCCCTGAAGTGATTTTGTGAAGATTAGCTTTGGTCTGTTGAAGAGGAGATCAGTCCTGCAGTTGAGAAGATGGCAGTATAGTGGAGGGTCAAAGGTAGGGGGAAGCAGAAGGGAAAACTTGCAAATCTGTGAAGATAAAACACTTTTAGAAAAGAAAGCTGAAAAAGAGGAGTCAGAAGACACTTTTTAACAGTTGAAAGGACTGTAGCTGGGCAAAGCAGGAAAGAGGAAGAAAATGGGTTTGGCAGCAAGGGCTCAGCAAACAGTGGGACCTCTGAGAAACATCCATAGGCTGGCAGATATGAACCAGGGCAGATTAAAAATTACCATGGTCAGTTTAGGTGTGTTTCAAATTCCTGTTTAGAAGCTTAGATGAAACTGCTGCCAGGATGCCAGGGACTGGAGGGAGGGCAAAAAGAAAAAACAAAAGTGTCTTTGTTACCTCTCATCAGAAGGTCAATGAAGATTTTCCTTGGAAGTTTCCTTATTGGCAGCTGAGCTATATGGAATAGTTCTGGGTTTTGCTTTATGTATGGGAAAAGTCAGGCTTGGTTCTTTTAAACCAATTTAATGCTTTTGAGTTCACTATACCATTAGTCTAAATGACAAGTATTTGAAGTGAGGGGCTTTTTAAATGCAATATTGAACAAGACTGAAACCATGACTGGCTAGTCCATGTAGCTAGCACTGTCTGTCTAGTCACAACTAAGTCAAACATTTGATATAACTATTTGCCAAAGCTTTGTAAACTCCCCCCTCTTTTTTTTCACCTTCTTTTTAAAGTTCCATAGGCGTTTTTTCCAATGACAGGATTTGGGGATAATTTCTTACAATTAGTGTGGACTAATAAAATGCACTGACTTGTGTCTTGTTAAATAAGCTAAGTTTAAAATAAAAAATTGAGTTTTCTGAATTGTGAACTAAGGTCCTCAGTTAAGGCTGTTAAGGTTATGGTATTGTGGTACAGTTGTATGAAATCCCTTTCCCACTGGATTGCAAGCAAGGGTATGTTTGTGTGTCCTGGAAAGATATGGGGAGTCCCATTTAACACTGCAGGAGTCCCCAAGACCTGAAATGTCAGTTGTTGGACCCTGCTGGGTGATTGCCACCGTGAAAGATCCCAAACCTGAAAGCAACATTATTGAGTACTTACCTTAACCATATCTTCTGCAGGAAAAAACCTTGAACTGTTAGTGGTATTTTGAGAGGTCTTCCCACTTTTACTACTGTCTTAATTTTTTTCCATGAAAGTTTTAAAATTTGTGCTTAACAATGCATTAACTCCTCAAATGAATTTAGCCTTTAATTCTGTATATTTATCTCATGGAAGCTTATAGCTACCTTTGGTAACTCTTAAGCTGGTAGGACCAATACTCTTAAGCCACATTAGGCTGAGTTGGAGTGTGAATATCACATTACCTTCTGTCTCTCTGTCTGATTTTTGTTGTCTGGAGACAGACAGAACTAGCCCAGCAGGTTATTGTGGAGGATGTGGAGGTGGTCAGGGAGCAAGAGCTTGAATGCTGGCATCAATGATGTGAGTGTCCAGCTGGAATCAGGTCTGACCCTTCTGACGTAGGATTATAACTGTAGAGTCATCAAACCATTTAGATTGGAAGAGGACTTAATCAAGCTAACAAAGTTAGCAGTTGTGACCTGCCAGGCTGTGACGCTTGGCTTGTTTATCTCACAACAAAGGTGCCGAAATGCCACTTGACCTGGAGCCTGCCAAGTGCAGGCTGCCATTTTAAAGGAGCCCAAAGTCCCTGTGTGACCTTCTTTCTTAGGCTGATTAATAATCTAGTCCTGGTTTTTGTGCAATTGATACCTAGATGTGAAGACTGGGAGCTTAAATGATGCAGAATTCCAGGATACCAAATTCCCTGAAGTGCCCACAGCAGCTGTAACCTCTCCACAGCAGAGTGTCTCAGGGAGGAGTGCTGCAGCTCTCAGACTCGCTCACTCCTCTTCGTTACACTGAGTTTGAAGTGCACTGCTAACTTGAGCACCATTCTTTCCTACCTCTCCCTGGAAGCAGCAAAGCTGGTACCTTTCTCCAGTTCCTCAGCAGTGCCAGAGCCTTGCACACCTTCACTATCACCTGCATTTCAGACATGTCCTGTGCACTCAGCTGTAAACGTGTCAGGAAGACTGAAGGACTTGTGAGTAGGAGACTTTTTCCTGCTCCTGCAAATGACCATGTTTACCACTAGGCATTTTCACAGGAATGTAAGGGATGAGTGGCTTGCTGTAGTTCTTCAGGATTTACTAAAGACACAAGAAGATTTACTGAGCTTATAAAGTGTAGGCATAGTTCAACTCTCAAATCTGTTTGACTTGAAGGCTAAACACACTTGGGTTTGGAGACTTCTCTGAGCCATGTGACAAAATTGGACAAGATTCACTCGTTACTGCACCTGTTAGTTTTGTCACTTTCTCTAATCACTTTTATTTCTTTCAGCACAAGATTAATGCAATTTCTGTATAGATCCTGATTTGTTTTCTCTTTTTTTGTCTCAGCTCACATTCAGGCATGCCGTGCCCTGATGATTACTTCCATCCTTTTGGGATTCTTAGCTGCAGTACTCTCACTGCTTGGTATGAAGTGCACAAACATTGGGTTGAGTGATGAAGACGGAAAAATGAAGTTTACTGTCACAGGAGGATTTCTTTTTATTTTAGGAGGTAATATTGAGGCTGAAATGAGAGCACTGTTGATACTTTGTATGGCTTTCACAGCCAGACTAAATGAAACAAACTTGTTTTTGGTTTAGATCTGTTACAGCCATTAAAGGAATCATTCACCTGTGTGCTTTTTAAACTTTTTCTGGTAGGTCTCTGCTCCATGGTGGCTGTTTCTTGGTACGCTGCAATGGTTACTGCTCAGTTTTTTAACCAACTGTACGCTGGAACCAAGTAAGTTAATGTATCTGTGATACCAATCTCCATCATGTGTTGGAGAGTTGCACTAGCCTCAGCTGCTCCAGAGTTTCAGAACCTGGATGGATCCCATTATCCAGTCATGCAGGAGGGAAAAATTGTATTCAGGGAACCTTTTCACTTCAGAGATGTTGGTGGGGAGGGAGGAGAGTTCTTTCCTGGAAGAGTTAGTGAGTGTGCGAGGAATACCAACCCCCATCTGAGCGGGTTTTGTACTGTGTTTGCGTTTTCTTGAGAGACTCAGTTAAGTGTGTATCTCAATCTTATGAAGAAGAAAAGGTAAAATTCGTAATCTGCTTTGGCATTTAGACCAAAAGAGGTACAAAACTTAAGTTCTGATTAGAATAAAGTACCTCAGATGCACATGCAAGGGAAAATCGCCTGCAAAGCAGCTCGAGCTTTGTACTAGTGGCGTGCAGAGAAATCTGCTGCCTGTCTTACACATGTCTATATTTTAACAGCTCAGCATTTGTTTGCCTTATGAGTTAAAACTAGGCAAAATCTGTGGGATTATCAGCCAGTGCAGTTGCATACAAACAAGTTTTGAGGTATAAAAGCCCTTGCTCTTTGTCTGATATAAAAGTAACAGTTGTCAAAACCAAATGGCAGCTTATGGCACCTTATCTAGGTGTCCTGTTTAGGAATGAGGAACAAGGGCAGAGGTAACTGTGCCTCTCCTTCAGAGAGGGTGAAAAGGAGAGGGAAACATTGTCTGTGGGATATGAGACATCTATAATATACTTCTACCAAGTATATAAATCATAGCTCAGTAAACTATAAATTGTTAGTTGCTAGGCTCATATTTGAAGTGTTTTGTAAAGTTCCCACCCAGGAATCAGTTCAGGGAAGTCAGAGGTGAAGTGCTTTGTGATAAATCAAAGTACTTTAAGCAATTGCTTTTGTTGTTTGTCAGTTTTCCCTGTGTTTTCAATGAAGTGCTTAGAAATAAATTGTATTTGTGCAGTTACTTTTTGTTGCTTTATATCCCCCTGAGAGAACTTATATGAAGGGTAATAAATGCATTAGAGAGCAGAAACAACTGTTGATAAGGAATTTCGGTTAGTTGGATAGTTGGTGTGTTTGATAGTTCCCTGCTAGAGCTTTGGGGCTTCAACATCAATGCCTGTTAATCAGTTACCAGATGGTTTGCATTCAGTAGCTAAAGAAATCTTTTTTTTTTTAATAGCTAAACTTCATGTTTAAGCCATTGATTCACTGAGCAGTTCTTGATGAATTAAGTTTGATCATTGATAAAGCTGGGCATGCAGTCTGTGAGACAATTTTAAATTCACTTGCATGCCAGTATTGATCTTCACTCTTAAGAGACTGGCAAGTCTGGTTTTTCAGATTGCATTTTTCTGGTCTGACTTCAGCAAATTAGTGAAGTTGACCTCTGCTAATTCTTAGAGGAGTTTCTCCTACATCTCTGAAGGCAAACGAAGTTGTTCTGCAGATGTCTCTGATATACTTTGGTATGACATCTACAGCATTCTTGTCTGTAGGTGACTGGTGAGCAGAAATGATTGCAGGCACTGGGCAATGTGCAATTTGTACTCCTGGGTTTGTTTGATAGTGACTCTGCTTCTTCCATGTTTGGAAGTACCTAAACCAGTGGAGACCTTGTGGCTCCCATGTGTGATGAGACAGAGAGCTGTGAACCTGTGTAAACCTCTGAATCCTTCCTGTGAGCAATGAACTCCAGAGTCAGAACCTCTGACACTTTTAAATAATTGTGTTTCCAAGTGGAAAGAAAACACAAATCTCTGGTTCCATGGTACCTTCAATGCAGTCCAGGACACTTATTTTGCTCTTATATTGGGGTATTTCAGACCAGAGATGTACAGGTGAATTGTGGATATAGTTTTTGTCTGATCATGAAAATTTGTTTTCCTCTTTTCATGAAACTCCTGCCAGACTTTTCCAGACTCAGTTGTGTCTAGTCTTTGGAACAAATTCATTATCAATTACTTTCTTGGACTGGACTAGGGGGTTTCCTGAAAGGTGTAGTTTTGTACAGTAAAATAGGGAACTATTCTTTTTCAGCCTGGGACATTCATAAATGCCTTTCAGCCATACCACCACAGAGGGTGCTGAATATCCTTTAGGGTATCTAAATTTGAAACCTAGCCCTATTCAGCCAGCTACTTGTAGGTGACCTAGTGTTGTGTCCATAGAAAACTGAGGTCTGTGGTCAGCCTTTTCTCAGCATATAGACAGTAAGATCTGAATCATCCAACTTCACAAAATCATTTCAGGGACACAACCAATAAAATTGTGTTATGGATTGCACATAAGGTATATCATTATTATTTATTATCAACAATTAGTTATATATACACAATTATTTATTGCTACTTATCTTTATGTTGCTTAGTACTCTCTGTACTGTTAGTAATTTGGCAGAACAGCTCTATACAAATAAGAGTTTTACTGAGCAGACACAAAGCCAGATCTGTTCTCCGTTAACTGCTGAAGTGCCTTTCAGTTAGCTGATTTCAATGCAAATTCAAATTTGTTTGCATGGCTTTGTGATCCTGTTATAAGTTGTTTCCATAAAATCTTTCATGTTTCAGGTATGAACTAGGAGAAGCTCTGTACTTAGGCTGGACTGGATCTATCCTTTATATATTTGGTGGGATCATACTGACCTGTTCATGCAGAGGGAAGGAAAAACAGAATTACAGGTAATCTTGGATTTGCCAGTTGAAGTAGTAGCTGTCAATCACATACCACTTTCTACCTGTGCACTATTCTGTCTCTCTCCACCCCCTGTATAAATATGTATAAATTACAAACAGTGCTGTGGCATGTCACAGACTGGTGATGGCAGGGGATGCTGTACCAAACACTTGTACCTCCCAGACAGGGTACTTCATGCATCACCATCAGCAGTCACCTTTAACTTGTATTTGGTAATTGTGGGCACTGCTGATAGTGAAAATGTGCAGTGAAAGAGCAAACTGTCACCAAAAGAAAAGTATATGAAACCCCATAATGTATTATGATCCAGTTCCTCTGCAGTACTCACTGTGAGTAAAATATTCAAACACTGTTCAGTTTGCAGAAAGTGTAAAGATCTTTCCCAAAGCACATGGAATTGATCACTAGAAACATGGTTTTTTTTTCTTGTTCTTTTTGGAAATGTCTTGTTGCACATCAAATCAGGAAAGGTGAGATTTCTGGCCTCAATATTTAACCTTCCCTGCTTTTTTGTTTCAGTCTTAATTTTGACACATACAGAAGGCCTCTTTTTGAAGGAGAGGGATGAAACAGGCAGAAATAGCAGAGGTCCATGTCTACCAGAACTCCAATAGCTTGGAGCTTGTACTAGCTGAGCTTGAGAGGGTTATAATATGCAAGGAAGAAGCATATTCACTATTGGTCTATTTAATATTAGGAAAATTATATCAAAATGTAGTAAGTGAGTGTTCCTCTGGTACTGCATTGCCTAATCTGAAACCATTTCAATTTTATGGTAATATTTCATCAGCCACATTGGACTTTAGATCTTGCTCACCTTACTTTGATACAAAGTACCAAATGTCCTGAAATGTCCTGAAAATCAGGTAAAACTGACATATGAAATAGAAGTTCAACATGATGAATGACAGTTGAAGGGGTTGGGTAAAGATACTACTGTTTTCTTTCTTTGTCATCTTGATTCCTGTATTAAAACCTGCAGCTTGTACAAAGGTGCTGAGGGCTTCTGCTTTAGGGCCTTGGCTGAAATGCCTGGAGGAAGAGCACATGAGTTAGGAATCCAGATGTGGCTGAGGTTATGAGAGATGCTGTGCAGCCCACCAGGGACCCCATCTATTCCCCCTTAGCTACCAGAACAATGAGAACAGGAGGCCTCTCATTTCTGCCCTGTTGTGAAGAACCTGCTGTGGGTGGGTTGGATACAAAGCTACCCGAGTAACTTCTAAGTATCTGAAACCATGGGCATGTGTCTAATACCAATTATTTTGTATCTTTTTTTCTTGATTCACAGTCCCAAGAAGTATGCATATTCAGCAGCCCAGGCAGCTTCTCAGCCACACATGTACCCCAGGAGCTCTGAGTCAGTCATAAGCAACAAGGAGTATGTCTGAGCTTCCATCCTGCATCACCTGTAGCGTTAGTGGGTTATGGACTCCAGTAAAGAAGTGAGCTACTTCTTTATTCTGGTTCCAAGCTGCAATCCTATGCCTTAATTTGGAGCAGTACCAGGAGGAGGTATGGCTTTCAATGTAAATAGGAATGGTTTTCAGATGTAAATAGCTTTCTACAGAAGACATTGTGACGTGAAATCCTGTGGCATGAAGGTTTTCTGCATGCTGAGAAGCTTGGTAAAATTTAACCAGAGTGCAGTATATGCTGACACTCAAGAGCAATGGTTCCTATTTCAGCTGACTCAAACATGTGGAACTGATAGCTGTATCTGACTGCAAGTTCATATGCCTGACAGTTAGAAATGTGTTTTGTTTTCATTAATGTTTAGCTTCCTTTTTTTTGTTTAGCAGCTTAAGCTTTTGACAAGAAATAAACTTTGTTCCACAGACTGAAACAGATTCTTTGACAAGTGGAATTCTCTAATAAGGATCTTATGTTATACTGAAATTCTTATTATATATGATAGTCAAGGTTTAATAAAAGCTACAAAAAATTTTCTAGCAAGTCTGCTAGAAACACTCTCAAATCTGCAGATGTGCAACAAGTTTCTTGTTGGTTGTAATGCAGATAGAGAAGATAAATGATACAGAATGAACAAAACACAGCTGGGACTGGAGAAAGCATCTGGTGTGAAAATGCCTCGTGGTAACTAAGAAAATGATAGCCTGAAATTTTTATTTTTATTTCTATGGTTTCAGCTTTTAAAATAACACTACTTTAACTTTGAGCAGTCTTTAACTGTGGGAACTTGTACTGCATCTGAATTGTCTAATTCATGTAATTCCCCAGTGGCTGGATTTTCTGTCATTGTTCCATCATTAGAATTTCTGCCTTAAACTCCTCCACAGCTGGGAGCATATGTTTACCTTGTGTGAGCACTTAGGCAGATGGCAGTGAACTAACCTTACTTCATATTTATGCTTTCAGCAGGGTGGAATGGAATTTCATCCTGCAGGCTCTCGGGGTCCATAACTCATCCCTTTTAAATTACAAATGTGTTCATACAGTTTGACAAAACTCTGTTTTGAATAGCTGATGATAAACACAGAGCAGTCTGATCTGGAAGTTTCATGCCCAACAGATAATTTCAGAGGGCAACCTGTAAGCAGTCTCAGCAGAAATGATTTAGCCATGCTGCTTGCATGCAGGAACAGCTGACTTGGAAAGTGACACATTAAGGCATGAACTGGGCCTTGTTTTACTTAGTAAGTAAAGCTAAAAGGAGTGGTGATTGCTTCTAGATTGCTAGTGTCATCTTCTTCCCTCCACTATCATCTGCAGTTTTTAAAATAATTCCTTTGGTGTTTTAGAGAACAATTTCAAAAGCTGAAAAGGCACTAGCCTGCAGGGTGGGACCATCACCTGCATATTCTGTCCTCTGGATTTTTAGGTGATTTGTGAAGGTGCTTTGGTCTAGTTGAACGTAAGGAAAATCACAGAGACAAAGCATCAACTACTGTCAGTTTCCCACCAAAGGTTGTGTCAGCTCATTAAGATGAATTATGATCCAGTAGGTGAGAGAGAAATTCAGAACTTCCTTGGTCGGGCATCGTGTCTTCTAATGGCATCGCTGGGAAGTTTACTTTAAAAACAGGAATAAAATCCCTGTGTGGTAACTCCTTCCCTCGTTCAGTACATTGTTACCATACTCAGAGGCATTCAGGGGAAAATCACTGCTGAAGATTCCATGCCTTTCTCTGGTTTGTTTACAGTCCTTCCAACCATTTTCTGTTTCTGCTGTTATTCCCTGCTTATCGGCCCTCTTTCCATGCATTACCAACAGAAATGCTCTGAAAGAATGCAATGAACCATCATCTCAATTATGGGGGTAAAGTGTTTTACGTACAGGTGATTTAGGATGTGATTTTTTTTTTTCCTTTTTTTTTTAAGTCTGTAGCAAGTCACTTCACTTTCTTTAAAGTATCTTCACACATCGCTATTTTTAAGTCCTTTGCTCAGCAGAGCAGACTGCTTTGATATCTGCAAATCTTCTTCATATCTCTGCAGCTGAGACCAAAATCCTGCATTCGGTTCTGCTACAGGTCTGGCAGTTTTCACAGCCTAGAGAACAGGAGAGACATAGTAGAGGCAAGGTATCCTGCATTTGTGGGAGTCATGCAAATGAATTTTGTACAGGAGAAGATTCACTTTATTTTACTTTACTTGATTTGGCTACAGAGTAACAAACACCTATTTTGGTGAGCTGACTTCACTCTGTGCTTGCTAGGAGCTGGCAGGTGGGGCTGGTTACAGAATGGATTAATGGGAAAGACACCAGACAGAGCTGTTGATTTGCTGGAAATGGGAAGTCTCTCACCACGTGCAGTGACACTGCTTGTGTTTAAGATGATAGTGTGAAACTTGGTCACTCTCTGCACACCTCAGTTTAAATTAAGCAAAACCTGACAAATGGGTGAAGCCAAAACCCACAGAGCACAAGCAGGTTGTATTGGATAGGCTTCCTAGGAAAGCTGACAGGTCATTATAGCCATGTAGCTGTGGCTGACAGCTAGCAGGGCCCTGGGCTCTCAGGCCTGACAGGATGTTCCTTGCTGTGTGGAGCTGTCACACAGGAGCAAACCCTGCACAACAGCTCCTGCACCCACTCACTTTGTCTCTGTCTTACCATGACTGTGCAAATGATAGAGAAAATGTTCACTAAGCAACCAGCTTGGTATGTTTGCTAGCTGTGCTTAAAGCCTATTTGCATTTGCATTGATGTTCATCCTAGAAACCCCACACTGAAAATTTATTAGACCAAGCTGGGCATGAAAAAACTTAAAGGTTTGAATCTCTGTATAACCGCTGATGGGCAGGAGAAAGCACCAAAATAATTCTACAAGAAATCACCATTACTCATAAGAAGCATTGCATTTCTTCCCCAAGAGAGCTGTAAACGCGGATCTGGACGTAGGCACATTACCTCAAAGGCGTCCTTGAGCGGCAGCTGCCGGTGTCTCATCAGATAAGCCGTGCAGATGGCAGCGGAGCGGCTGCGGCCGTTCTTGCAGTACACCAGGCACTTCCCCCCGGCCCGCACGGCCTCCTCGATGGCGGCTCCGCAGGGCTCGAAGTGCCGGTGCAGATCCTCGGCCGGGTCGTCCAACACGGGCACGCGGATGCCGCGGACGCTCCGCAGCGCGGGGAACGGCTGCTGCCGGGTGACATTCACGCAGAAGGTGACCCCCTCCCGCGCCAGCAGCTCCTCGTCGCACGCTGCCCTGGCCGTGCCCAGGAGCAGCGAGGCCGTGACCTGGCAGAGCTGGGGCATGGGCGGGCACGGGGCACCCAGCGGCCCCGGTGGCGGAGCGGGGCTCCCGGTGCCGGCACGGCCGCGCCGCCCGCAGCCACCCGCGCGCTGCTGTTTTTATCCGCTCCCTACGGGCTGGCGCGTAGAGGCTCCAGGCAGGTCCTAGTGCCGGCTGCATCCCGAGAGAGGACTTGGAAAGCTGCAAGCACTTTCAGAGCCCACAGCTCGCTTGTAAAGGCAGTGGATTTGTACAGTCGCTACCTCCAGAATAGCTGCTTACCTGCTGTGTTCTGCACCGGAATGCTGCTGCTGCTGCTGCTGCTGCTGCTGCGGGCGGTGCTCTTGGTGCAGTGATGCCAGGCTGAAGTGGTGTCAGGGTGGGTTTAGGCTGGATATTAGAAAAAGCTTCTTCACCCAGAGAAGATCCAGTTGGGCACTGGAACAGGCTCCTCGGGGCAGTGGGCACAGCACCAAGCCTGAGAGAGCTCAAGAAGGGTTTGAACAGTACTCTTGGGCACATGATGTGACTCTTGGGAATGTTCTGTGCAGTGCCAGGACTTGGACTCCATGATCCTCGTGGGCCCTTCCAACTCAGCACATTCTGTGATTGAGTCTGTGATTTTCCAAAGCATCTCGGTGCCCCTTTCCTACAACAAAAGCATCTTTTGAGTGCCCAGAAAATGATTTACTAGGCTGGTCAGATAGTGTAGTGCTAATCTTTCTGGACTTCACTTGCTGGTGTGCTGCTAGGGCAGAGAGCATCTTGCACCTGAGTGTGCTGACATGGGTTAGAACCGCACAGGATGGGTGGGGATGGGCCAAGCCCAGCCAGGTGAAGGTCACATTGGCCAGTGCCGGGCAGGTGCTGCAGGGCTGGTCGCAGGTGCCAGCTGCTTCCTGGAGGCTGAGCTGCTTCAACCCTTTGCTTTCAGGCCAAACAGGAGCATTTGATGGCATTTGCTGCTGACACAAAAATGAACCTGAATTGTTGCAGCAGCAGAGCACAGACCGGTGTGAAGTGCAATGCCACCCATTGTTGGTGGCAGGTCCAGGTCTCCAGGAAGGAGAACCGTGTGGGTGGCAGTAGCCCAGCAGATGGCTCTGGGATCTGCCAGACAAGTCTGGTGTGAGTTCCTGGTTTAACAGCTCCTGCAGCTCATCCCGGGACACTGGTCCAGGCGTTAGAGAAGGTCTGGTGCCTCGGTCCAGATTTTGCTGGAGTATTTCTGGTCTTGGTGGCACTGCCAGTTGGAGTACAGTGCCAACAGCCCCTGTCACAATGGCTGTCTCCTGTCCTGCTGCCGTGCACCTGCAAAGTGCCTGGCCTCACTGTCTTGGTGAGCTCCCAGTATGTGCTGGGCTGCTGCTGGAGCCCCTGCAGCCTTCCATGCCTAGGGAAGCAGTGATGCTTGGCTGCCGTGGAGTGGGAGCTGGGCTTGGAGCACACCCTACACCTCCTGCAAGCTCTCAGCAATGAATTTGCAAACATGCAGTGTTCAGTGACATTATGAACTGCAGAAATGCTTTCAGACACCTTTAGTAAACACCCAGACATCAGAGGCTGTTATTTCAGATCATAATTATACACCGAGGAGGCAAAGCAGGAAACTGGTGTGCACAAAACTTCTCCAAGGAGAAGACCTGTATTTTTGCATTTGTCTGTACTTATATAAATGTGTGGATGTGGTGGAAATAGCTGCAGCTGCAGGAGAGGAACCTAAATAAATACCTACTCACTTAAGGGTATCAGTCAGTTTATTAAATGTAGCTGATATTTGCTTCCAGGCAGAAGGATACACTTTTAATAGTTTTCAATTACCAAGTCTCAGACATTTCATGAGCAGATTCCAACATGTCACCTTGACAGCTGCATTCACCCACTTCTGGAAGTGGATGGAGCTGAAGCACAAACCTTTGTGCTGCACCAGTCCAGTCTCAAGCACATGCTGGAGTTCCCACAAACACACATCCCCTCGCTGCTTTGCTTGCTGTGAGCACTGGTGCAAAGCCATGGTCTGTAATTACCACAACACTTTGTAAAGATGAATACCAAGGGCATTTCTGATTTTTTGCACTGTTATGCCATGACTTTCTGTGCTTCTAGATGAGAAAGAGACAACTTAGGATCCTCGCTTTGATGTCTCAAGCCAGGCTCACCTTGTTCCCACAAACACACAGAACCCAGCAGCTGCTGCTCTGAACGGTACAGGAACACAAATCCCTACTGCAACGCTGCCATCAGCCCATGACACACTTGTGGCTGAAACATGGTTTCATTCCTCAGGGCTCCTGACCTGGCCTTTATCTGTGCCTTAACAAGTGAAAAAGAAAGAAAATGCCAGACTTGGCTTAAATGGAGAAGAAATAATTGCCCTGTAAATACAGATTTGTCTCCAGCCTTTTTATTTATACAAGGATTCAAAGAACATATTTCAACTTTAGATAAACAGTGCAAGAGAGTTACAAGTACCTTGGTAACAGAAAGAAATAGATAACTGTCCAGCTATGCTGATAAGTGAAATAATTCTTACTCCTGCAGATAGAAATGCATCTGTTTAAAGCAAAGGTGGACTTTAGATATCCTGCTATACCTTAGCCCCTACCAAGCCCACCAGAAAACAACAGGCAGCTTGTCATTTGTAAATGAGGAGTAGCTGTGCTCTCAAAGCCTTTTGAGACCCTCACCATTGTTTAAAACACACATTATGGCACAAAGAGCAGGCTGAAAGACAGAGACACTTGGAAATCCACCATTTACGGTTCTCCCTTCCCAGGGACGGGGCCTTTGTAAATATTTTTTTCCTACACCACTTCCCCCTCCACACCCCTGTCAAGTATGAGGCCTTTTCACACCAGAACACCATGGATCACCATCTTGATAACATGGAAGCAGATGTTTCTCCCCAGCCAGCCCAGTTCCTCAGAGATCCCCTCATGCAGCCACCAGCCACGGGGAGGTGTGTCACAGTGTTTTCCAGCAGGCAGCAGCCCAGGAAATGTCATTTATAAGCACTGAAAGGCCCCAGGTTCTGCACCAGCCCGACCACAGGCTCGGGACTTGTCTGGACCTGGGTTGATTTCAGCTTGTTCAGCCACCAGTGGTTGTTTAGTCAGCAGTAATTACAGTTTCCTTTAGTTTAGAGTTAATATCCTGGGGGCTTTTGGCTGTTTCAGCTCCTGGGGAAGGTGGCACGGCCAAGCACAACCACAGGCCACTTAATGGCAGCAGCTGAGGAAACAACTTCAGGGCAAGGGAGAACAGAAAAACTGAGTAACCAGGGACCAACAAAAAGCAGCAGCGTAGGCTGACCACGGGCAGATATAAAAATCAACCCCAGAGGATGCAGGGCCACCAGCACCACTGAGCACTGCTGGGCACAGAGGGGGCTGAGCCCCCTGCACTGCCCCCACCTCTGGCTGCTGTCCTGCTCTCTCCCTGGCCTGGCTTCTGGAAGTGGGAGCTGCCACCCTCAGGGTCAGGAGGGATGTGGAAGTGGGAGCTCAAGCCCAGCCCAGAGGTGAAGGCTTCAGGAAGGGTTTCCCCTGCATAACAGATTTTACTGTTTCTTTGAGGTTTTGCTTATTAATTTGCACTATCAGGTTTTTTTTTCTTGGAGCAGAACCACTAGTTTGGACTATTAAATTGTTAAAATACTAACTGGATAATCAGTAAATTCCTGGCTTCACATTTAAGATGTGAAGGGGCCCATAAGGAGCTTTTGAGGATAACAGGCAGACAGCAAAAACTAATTGCACAGAAATGGAAGTGACTTTCAAGCTCCCATTCTGCAAAGCAAAACATTGACCTCAGCATCCATGTGTTAAAACCCCAACCCAACTGTGTTTTGATGAGGATACAGTGTTTTCATTCTTCTTCCCTCCCCCCAGCTTTTTTTTTTTTTTTTCTCACTTTGGATGTAAAGCTTCTGCAGGATTGGTTGTGGGGATTGTTGTAACTGAAAGTTAAATTTGTATTTGCAATTCTGATTAAAAAAGTTAAAAAGAAAAGACAGGAACTCTTTAGAGCAGTAAAAATCATGTGAAGTTGCCGTATGTCTAGGAGTAAATAAATCTAGACAAAACCACATTTATCCTCTGCAGGGTTCTGATGGGTGTAGTGGCACTGTCTGTCCTTCAGCCACTGCCCAACACCCCAGTGTTCATTTCTGACACCGGACCAGATCAGGTGTGATTTTGCCTTTCAGGAAGGTGAGGCCAAGGCAGAAAGGATGCACAGTCAGTGACATTAATCACTGTGACTTGGAGAGGCTGGTCAAAGCTGGCCTAAAATCTCTGCCTAGTTTGAGGCACCCTCAGTGCCACCACTGTGCCCCAGGGAGGGCAGGGAACCAACTGGCTTTCAGCACTACCTTGCTCACGTCCTCCTCTTTCCTTAAATTGCACCCTTCAGAAACTGCATGTTCAAAATGAGGGTTTTTTTCCCCTGTCTTAGAGGACAACCAAACCCCAATCCCATAATGTTTGCACAGCCCAAAGGCACATCTCCTCTGGCAAGACAGAGCAGAAATGCTCAAATGCTGGCAAAAGCAAGAGACAGCCCAGCTCTGCCCTCCCTCTCACCCCAATACAAACCCGTCTGAAGCTCAAACCCAACCTGTGTGTGCTCCTGGCCCAAGCAGTCACAGGGACTGTGTTGTATCCAGCATCTGCTACACCCACAGCTCCAGCCCATGCTTGCTGCTCATGAGGCATGGAAGCCTCTGGAAGCCCCAAACACACAGCCCTAACAAGCACAGACACTCCTACAGCTACATGAGGTCATTTATAACTTCACTCACCACCCCCAGTCTCAAAACCTGGCACAGAGCCCACCCCACCGAGCAATTTGGGGTTAGGGCAGCTGCCCACATCACCCACTGGCGAGTGGTGGGATGCGGCAGCAAAGGGTGAGCCTGGCCCTCCCCTGAGCCAAAACAAATCTGCCAGTGGTGTCTGACCCATGGGCTCAGCCCTTGCCTGCAGGGGTTAGGGAGGGTGAATTGGATGATTGGGAAGGAAGAGGGAAAGTGGGAATCCATTAAAAACCTAAAGTACAACTGAAACAAACACCAAAGGTAAAAAGAAATCCCAAACAAAATGTTTCCCATTCTCACATTCCCCCCTGGTGGGTGCTGCCTTGAGCCAGTGCTCTGGGTAGGGCTCATGGTGATCCCCACCAGCCCCTGAAGGGGCACAATCAGTCCCAAAGCTCCAGTTAGAAAATGTCCCTGGTCTCTCTTATTACCAAGAAAAAAAACTGGATTCCTGTCTATGGCTGGGGCCAGAGAAGGAGGAGGCAGCACAACTGCCTGTCACACAGAGAATCGCACTGTGCATATTTGCATCTCTCTGTTACCTACAATGGTACTGCACTGCAGGTAGAAATTGGACCACTGTTACTTGGGTAGAAAATGGCTTTCCAACTAGCATGCAAAGAAAAAGTACCCCAAACCCCAACCCCTAACACTCATTCCCAGTCACGTAGATGTAGGAAACCTACATTTCAAATTGTCATCAGCTACGAGCTCTAGTCAAGAAACCCACTTGTGACCTTTCCAAAGAAAAAGCGAGTTCTGCATTTTTGGGTCCAACAGTCACTGCCAAACTCTTTCAGTTCAACCCACCAAACCTGCTCAGGCTCCTACGTACACCACTGGAAGTGAAGGGCCGTCTCTGCCCAGCTAGGAAGCACAGAGGAAGAACCCAAAGAGCCCCTGAACGCAGCACGGGAGCCGTGCGAGGATCCCGGTCTGTCCGCGCGGGAGCCGGCGCTGCCCGCGGCACTGGCTGTGGCTCCGGCCCGCACCGGGGAACAGGGCAGGGCAATTGCATATTCCACTGGAGGCAGCAGCACCGCTGCCCTCCGAGGGCTCGGCCGAGTTCCCCTGGAGCCCTCTGCAAAGGCTCGTTTCAGCCCCAAGAGCCAGTTTGTGGCAATAACAAAAGTAAAACAATGAGGTATGGAAAGAAGGGCCCAGCATTGGGGAAAGACCTAGAAAGAAGAAAACAGCTCGAGCACTGCCAGAAATAGCAAACAACTGAAACCTTCTGAAAACCTTTTTCTCCTCTTTTTTTTTTCTTTTTTTTTTTTTTTTTTTTGCCAAGGTGAATTAAATATGTCCGTTGGTTGGTTGGTTGGTTGGTTGGTTTTGGCAAAGTGAAGCCCTCAGCCGCAGTCTGTTTCCTGGCTGTGCCAGTGAGTTACCGCCACAAGTGCTGTGCGGCGATGACAGCCACCGAGAGGAGGAGGAGGAGGGAGGCAGAAGGCAAAGATCTGCTGCTGGCCCCATTGATGCCGTGTCCAGACTGCTTAGGAATAGCGTGTGTTTCTGGCTGCCTGGTGCTGGGGCTCTTAGAAAGTCTTTTGCCACAGACGTCATCAGGACAGCTATCCCCGCTCCCCGAGCCGCTCATGTCGTCACCTGTGCAGAGACAGACGTGGGGTGAGCACAGACTGCCGTCCTTATGGTGGGCAAGGCCCCTTGCTGCAACCCCAGGGAGCTCTGGCCACCTGCCCTACCCTGGCCACCCCCTCCTCTCTGCCCCTGTCCCTCAACGTGGGATACAAGCCCATACCTGACCTCCTGCTGGCTTTAGTCACCTGTTGCTGCAGCAGCTGGAAACTCCGGAGCAGACAGGAGCAATGGCCCTGTCAGCAGGGCTGGGACTGGAGCCAGCCCTGCAGCTTTCAGTAAGGCACTGTGAACAGCACAGCCTCCAGCCACCCCACAAATTGTCTGCACTCAACAGCCCCTCAGCAGCCCCAAGCCAAAAGCCAGGCTGCCACAGCCCCTCCCTGCCCACAGGCCCAGCAGCAGCATCTGCAGGGACACCTGTGCAGGCTGCAGGGACACCTGTGCAGGCTGCAGGACTGCTCAGCCCCCCTCACCCCCCCTTGAAGCTCTCTGGTTCTGCTGCACTCACTCGTGTCCTGGAAATCCACATCGTTGCCGATGTTAGCGTTGCCCAGGCGGTTTGTCATGATCTTGAGCTGCATGATTTGCTGGCGAATGGTCATATCTGGCTTGGTGATGTCCACCTCCACCTCTGGGTTGTTAATCTGGTTAGCCAAGCCATCCCCCATCACTTCGGGCAGGTAACTGGGAAGGAAGGCAGAAGGTTTAGATGTGTCCCCCCAGCTCAGCTCCCCTCCTCCTACAGACACCAGGGATAACCCAGGCTCTGTGAACCCCAGAGAGGCTGCAGTCAGTGCCACTGACTTCTGGAACAGCCTCTGCAGCTGGCGTTTGCTGGGCAGCCCAGCTCTCTGGATGGCTGAGCCATGCTGTCATGGCCAGACCCCAGCAGAAGGGATCTCAGCTTGCAGGAGGTGGCTGGGTGGCCTGGCAGAATCCCTGTCCCAGCATGGGGAGGGATTTCCTGCAGGCTAGTACCATTGGGCCCACAGTGACACTACCCTGTGGAAAATCTCTGTCCATATGGGAGGCTGAGGAGCATTTTAATCCCTGCTTGGTTAAATCCTGTGGAGACTGACACCCTGGGACCACTGAATGGCCCCAGCCTAGTTTGACCAGACAGGCTCCCAGGGAAGCTTAATTAGCTGGGAGCTGTCACCCAGAGCTGCACTGCTGACTTCCACAGTGCCCTGGTCCTCCTGCTCCTGCAGATCTGGGACACTGCTGGCAACAATGTGAAATATGGAAGAACTGAAGGTGTTGACTTCAGGCTGGCAAAGCCAAGCCCAAGAGGACTGCAGAGAGAAGAGGAGAAAGGTGCATGTCCAGCAGCTGCCAATCTCCCCTCAGCCATCCTTTAACCTTGGCTGGCTGTTTCTATATCTGTTTGATGTCACCCAGGTGTCCCCTGTCAGAGGGAGCAGCATTTCAGAGCAGGTATGGATAGAGGGAGTATGCATATGAGTGCATACACACATATGAGTGTATGCAATTCTCTGCAGCAGCTCTGGAGCTTGTGTGGTAAATCCAGCCCTGCTGCCTTCTGAGCACACGTGGAATTGCAGAACTGCTTCCTTGGTAGAAAACTACACAGTTATTTTATGGTGAGTGCATTTCAGTGCTTAACCCTCAACACAGAGCAAAATGACACCAGGCTTGACATTCCCAGGTATGAGCATTTCTGGAAATGCAGCATTTCTATGGACAGGCACAGACTGCTCACTCTGAACAAGTAAGGCTGGCTGTGATGATGTGTAAGTGCCTTTTCAAACCCTTCCTCTCAGCCCAGACTGGTGCTCCTGGCACTGTGACCCACTCCATACCTGCCCTTGGTCATCCCATTCCAACATTTGTCATCTGATGCTGAGCTGGCCATTACTTTTTTGCTGCACAGGCTGCTGGGCAGGGTGATCCAGTATGTCTTGAGAGCTGTCAGATTCCCTTTGGCATCTAAAACCTGTAAGCAAAGGGGATGCTCAAGGTCACAAGAGCTCTGGGGTGCCCCAGGGCGGAGGAAAGTACAAGGATTCTGCATATTTTTTGTTCTACCATCACAAAATTTGTTTTTATGCAAAATAGGATGTATCATCAACCCTCCCCAATCATCAACCCAAGTGCCCAAGACTAAAGATTACATGCCAAGGACTGTTCCAGTACCACATCAGTCTAGGAGCCTCTTCAGGTATGTCTGGCACCAAATCCCTGGGAAACTGGTAATCAGCAAATTGGTTATCTATTGGTTATTAGACTCAACCCTGCAGAGGCAAGAAGATCAGGTCTGCTTGGGTTACAGCAGCACTGATGATCTGATCTTCTCCAGCCGTGCAGCTCCAGCCCCAGAGCAGTGTGAGCTGACCCGCAGGACCCGGGAGCAGCTCCAGACACAAACCCACCAGCATCTCCAGTGCCTGTGCTGAGGATTTGGCTTCCAATGTCACCTTCCCCCGTCTCTTCTTGTCCTCACTACTGGAGCCTCTTGTGCTGATTTTGGGATTTCCACAACCTTGGAATACCTGAAAAACAAACCAAACTCTCTATCCCATGTTTTGATGCTATTCCTTTAATTATTCAACACTCCACAGTTAGGGGGTTTCTTTTATTTTCCTTCTTAAGTATATTTATCTTTCCTATTGCCAAGATTCTCAGAGATTCTGGCTTAGTTTCTAGTGCCAGATGTGTTTTCAGCACATTGTAACTGGCTTTGGTTACTATTATCAAGCAAAATATTCAGCAGTAACACATGTTTTTGGATGAGTCACCAATATTGATACTAAATTATTTATAGCAATTTTATCTGTTCTTATGACTGGAAAATAAAATTCTGGGAAGAAAAAGCTGGGAGTTCTTCACACTCCTTATATCAGTGGTGTGGGCTTCAAGACTACAGAGCATGGGAACTTCCCTGATGGACAGCAGACCGATGTGGGACTATCCCCATGACTCCTGCAATCAACATCCCCACTTGGGAAATCAATGTGCCTCTAACAGGGCACTGCAAGGACAGCAGATGTGCCACAGTCTGTCAGGTTGGACGTTTCAGGGGCAAATGAGGCAGCAGAACTGATTTATCTGTTATCTTCAGGTACCTCCTATCATCTTAACTTCCTGCCCAGGTGGGCTTTGTAGCCAGAGGCAGCTGAAGCACTTGGAAGGTCCAAATCCTCATACCTGGCCTCTAGGGTGAGATGAAGGGTGTCCTGGAAACACCTGCTTCTCCCAGCCTCTGCATCACCAGTCCAGGCAGCAACACCTCTGCTGCAGATCACCAGGGCAGGGCAGCTGAGCCTCACTGGTGGCAGGAGAGCTCAGAGGGCCAGGCTGGACAAAGCATCAGAGGTCAGGAGGCACTTTGCACTGTCACTTTGAGTCAGGATATGCTAGCCTTTACAAAGGAAGCCACCTGATTTGAAAAGAGGGCTCCAAGCTTGTTGTGGCTGCCAGGATGCTGTCCGAAGCTATTGATAAACTTTGCCTGGTGTCCCCTTGAAGCAGAGGAGGCAGAGCCACAGGCAGAGCTCTGCTGACACAGTGCATTCTGACAGCCAAGTGCTAACCTGGCCAAGAGTCCCCTGTCTGTGTCTGAGGGACACTCAGCCTCCAAAGGCCCCTCCTGGGGTGTCTTCTGTCCTCCTGGCCAGATGGAGATCTGATGACTCCAGCAGTTCAGCACCAAGCCAGTTTGTTTGTTCATCAGTCTTGTTAGCTTTGTGCCAAAAACCCACCCTGAAAAGTGCATGTGGAGCATTTTCAACTTGGTTTCACTGCTGTATCTTGTTGGCCTATTGCAGGCCCCTTCCCAGGAGATAAAAGTCTGGGGAGGTGTCCAGGACAGTGGCAGCTCCAGCACAGTGTGGTACCAAGGCAAACCCATTGCTACTCTAAATGCCCAGGTGAGAAAATCAAACTGCTGCTGGAGAAAACACAACTCCAGCAGACTGAGGAGCCAACAGTCTCATGAATAATGAGAGCAAATAGGCATCTGCAGCCTCTGCCAGCTCCTGCTGCCTGAAATCCAAGAGATTCGGGGAGAAAGGGAAGTGTGAGGAAGGAGGGAGAGGGCTCTGTACTGCCCCGAACACAAGGCTTGGTACCACAAGTGCTTCTGTAGAGCTTCACCCAGATCCCAGGACAGCTTGAGACTGAGGGTGCCACTGGGGCCAAGGGCCACTCCTGGCTCCTCTCAAAGAAGGCACTTTGTGGGGAGGAGTGCATTCCGTGCAGGTGGCTCTGGTGCAGCTGCAGGTTCAGCTCTGGTGGCCGAGCCAGAGGCTGTGAACTGCCCACCCCTGGCATAACAAAGGGCACGGGGACCTGTGGCACCAGCCAGGTGAGCAGACACTGAGAGGGCTGGGTGAGACTTCTGCATGCTTGGACTGTGAGAGGATAAAAGCCCAGGGGTTCCTTTGTTGGCCTCAGAGGCACCAGCTCAAGCTTTTTTGTGTTACTGTGCTGTGAATAAATTGCTTCATGGAAGGAGAGGTCTGAGACTGCCCTGGGAAACCTGGGCTGGAACCAGTGAGGACACCTGGTCTGGCTGTGTGAGTGGGTGTGCAGGAGTCAACCCAGGGGCTGTGACCTGCCACTCTCAGGGGCTGCAGTGACAGCCTCTGATGGTGGGAGAGTGGTTGCCAGAGTGCCTCCTGACTGCTCAGACTGGGAGGTTACCTTAACAGCAGTGCCCTTGGCCTGGCTCCTGTCCTTGGCTCTGAGATAGCCAGGACTGGCCTGGGACAGCCCCGAACTCAGCTGACAACAACATCCTTCTGATGGCTCTGCCATGCTCAAAACCAGAGCTCAGAGCTTGGCAGCTCCTGCCCTCTGCTAGCTGTGCCACCAGCAGAGTGCTCCATCCACCTGGTCACCAGGTCATACGGAGCAGATTATCAACCATGTTTGATTGCTCCAATCAAACACCAGTTAGACTGTTTAGCCCGTTTCATTTCACCAGATTTACTGTATTCCCCTTGGAAACACCTTTCTTTGTAGATGATGCTATGTTTTCCCACATCATGGATTTGCTTTTATGTGGAAAGCCTCAGTCTCACCTAACGAGGGAAGAAAGAACCTTGCCTTTCATGTCAGAAAAGAGACCTAACCCAGTACTTGGATGCACTCAGCTGTTAGTGCTTTGATGTGTGCCAGTGAATTCCTGTTTGCCAAGCAACACTTCTGGCCCTTCCCTTATCCAAAACCCAGTTAGGACCTGTCCCACTTCTTTCATCTGCATCTCTGCCCTGACTGTGGGATAGCTGCAGGACCTGGGGAGTGTCTGGGCAAAAGGCAGGAGCCCTGGAGGGCTGCGTTTCTTCCCAAAGCTTCTCTTACCTGCAGCTACAGAGGGGACTGTGGTTAAGTGGGTAAATATACTAAAAATAGAAGACCAACAGAAGAAACTTTCATGATACATACTTCTTGGGAGACAGGTGAGCCTCAGGAGAGCCTGGTTCGTACTCTCCAGATGGACTGCCAGACTGCAGCTCTGTCCCACGGCACAACCTGATAGCCCAGTGTTTCCACTGCAGAAGATCCCCTCGAGGCAGGACAAAGCAGCTGCCTCCTGTCACTGGGGACTGTGCACTTTGTGTAAATGCCTCAGCTCAGCCAAAACATCTAAAACTCTTCAGCACAGAGGGCACTGACTGCAAATGGCACATGCATCCCCCCCATCACTGTGTATGCAGTCCCACCTCCTGTGCCTGTAACCAAAGGAGGCTGGCTGGATGTGGCAGGGAGCAGTATTTGGAAACATCTGCAAAGGTTTTTGCCTGTGTCAGATGAGTGGTAGGAAACCAAGGTAATTTATCACTAAAAGAGTGGGCACTTGCTCTCTTTCACTCTTCCTCTCTCCCAGCTCAGCTGAAGAGTGAGCACAAAAGAGCACCAGGTCCTGGCAGTGATGTGTCCTCAGGCAGGCCCAGGCACATGCTCCTACCTTGCTCGTGATGGAATCTTTGTTCTCCTGCAGGTTAGAGATGGCTTCAGCGATCCTCATGTGGATGGTGCCTATCACAGTGTCCACGTTGTAGGGCCCGTCGATGCGATCGGCCACCCCCATCAGGGAATCTGCAGAGCAAGGCAGGGACAGCTCTCATCATCACTGGGCAAACCAAGGCAAAGACCAGCTCAGGCTGGGTGGGAGAAGCTGCTGGGCCCTTGGCAGGTCTCCTTGTTGGGAGACACCTCTCCATTTTCACCACTGCCCAGATGCACACTTGTTTTCCCTACTTTATGTAGGCAAATCCACTCTCTGTGGCAAAGGAACCTCCTGCAAATGGTAAATACACTTTGGGTAGAGTGTTCACCCAAAGTAACCAGCATTTCCCTGGGTGATACAGAAAGGAAAACCAGAAAACTGGTGCAGAATTATTAAGAAACACACAGCAATACTTGGCCCTCACCCTCCTAACTCAGTGCATGTCTCCAGCAAAGCACTGCAGCCAGGAGAAAGTGGGAGAATTGGGGTCAATAATGTGCCAGAGACAGTGGATGTGGGAAATAGTTTCTGTGGCAGTGAAGGAGGGAGAAAAGCAGTAATTCTTCTCACCTCTGAAAGGACAACAGCCAGGGAGGTATCAGGCTATACAGGTACAGAAGCAGACCAGTATGCCCACAACTAAGCAGTAAATAGGTTACTGGGAGTTACTGCGGGCTGCCTCAGCTCTCAGCTCCTCTTAGAAAGCTCTGATGTCCAAGCACTGATTCCTGGCCTGGAAGTTCCTGCTTGGATGGCTGCTTTGGGACTGTGCTTGGCTTACTGCTGGATTTTGGATGGTCAGATTACTGTATAGAATTTTCTATAAATCCATTTCCCACAGCTTACAAAGAATAACCAATCTCTCCCTACCCCCAGAGATAATTCTCAACACTCCTGTTGGGTGGGTCTGAAGGAAGGACAGCCCATATGCTCTCAATATAAGGGGTAAATTTTGGTAACTTTTTGTATTCTGGTAAATAAAATCTCTGGTAACACTGAAGAGCTTGCAGTTTAATTTTGCTGCCACTCAGGGGTTGTGGTGTCATCTTTGAGACTGTACATTTTAGACAAATAGTGCCTTGCAGAGGCACTGATCTTGAGACACAGACATTTAAATCAAAGGTTGCACCCCTAAATAGTGATAAATTATATTTGAACCACTTACTATAAAAATCTCCCTTAAATTGACCTGCTTTAATTTATAAAACTGAAAGAGTAACTCTGTGTTTAGTGTAACAAAATCGTCTCTGGCTACGCAGAAGGGCCTGGAGAAGGGTGAAGGAAGGACACCAGAGTGAACTGCTGCCTTTGACTCCACGATTTGCTCCCGTCCTTGATCAGTTTGTGGCCTCTGACACTGAAATGTAAAACTGCAATTTGAAAGAAGCTCCAATTTCCTCCTAGCCGTCACCCCTTGACAGTGTCTCTTGGGAAGAGGAAGCCAGAATAAATGCAAAATGCACATGGAACTGCTTCCCTGTCAATCAAGGAAAGCTGTACAGTGGTGTTTCAGGAGAGAGGCTGTCATCCTGCCAGGGGAGAGTGACAGGAACAGTTGGCTGGCTCTGGTCAGAAAGGCCAAAGGGCCACCAAACCCCTGGGGAAGGGACAATTCCTGCCCTCCTCTGCAGCAGGCTCCCAGTTACTCCCAGGGAGCATTTCCAGTTAGCTGTGGCACAGCTGGCCTGGGCACCTCTCCAGGCAGTGCCTGCTCTGCTTCCCCATCCGTACTGCAGTGTCCCTCGAGAGGCAGGTGACACTCCTTGACTTTGCTGGGGTTTTTGTCCTTAATGCCAACCCTGAGCCAGCCTGGGGGCTGCGGCTGGGGCTGAGCTGGCAGCTTTGCTGGCCAGCCAGCAGCTGCCAAGGCAAGGGAAAACAAGGCCAAGGCCAAGGCCATCCCCTCTGGTGCTGCCCTCTGTGAGCCCAGACAAACACCAAGGCTCCCTGAGGTCTCAGATCACTCCAGCTGTGCAGGTACAGTGTGAGAAAGAGACAGGAGCTTGTTGGGTGATGCTGTGTGGGCACAAGGAGGCCTGAGAGCTTCACCACTGCAAACAACCTCCCTGAGCCTCCCACCGTCCTCTTTGCTCGCCACACACAGCCTCAGGGAGCTCAGGGCTGAGAGGAGCTGTGCTGCAGCAGGGAAAGGCCATCTCACCCATCAGGTACTTCCACTCGGTGCTGAGGTCGGCCTGGTTGGCCAGGCAGCCCTTGATGACGTTCAGGCAGTAGTTGTTGCACGGCTTCACGCTGGCCATGCCCCGGCAGTGCGGGCAGTACATCAGCTTCATGATGGCACGCGTGCACTCGTGGCTGAGGGACACCTGGGGGGACAGGAGAGAGTCAGGAACAGAGTGTTCAGGGGGATGGGGGTGAGCTCCCCCCTTCCCTGGGCTGAAGGAGATTGCTGTGATCTGAGAGGCAGCACAGCTCCCTGGGGACATGGACCAGGAAAAGCCATTTCCCCTCTCACTGCCCCTCCTTCCCCTGCTCTTCCTCCCTGCTGGAGGGACAGGAGCTCTGGGGCAGCTGCCAGTTCCTCAGGCTGTGTTTGAGCTCAAGCTTCTGGAAAAAACCTGTGAGCACCATCCCCCTTCCAGCCAGGCCTGGTGGCCACAAGGACATCTCAGGCTGTCCACCAGCTGTGACCTGGACCCCGGCATGGAGCATGTGTGCCATCAGTGCCACCACCTTCTGCAAGGGCCTGCTGCCACTGTCCTGCAGACACAGGTGTCCCACACACACTGCACCTCCAGCTTCCTGGGGGGATGCTGCACACTGGGGCCCTGGACACAGAACCCTCCCAGCTGGCATCTTTGGAAAGCAGAATAGTCTTGGGGGAAGACTTGCACATTTCCAAAATGATGGGCAATTGAGAGCGAGCACTTCACACTGGGAAGTGATTGCTGTCTGTGAGCACTTCAGGAGCTGCAGGCAGACCTGGGCCAAGCCACGCTGTGCCAGCAGCTCACAGGCCCTGCACGTGCAGCTGGCTCTTTGCAGGACTCTGGAGGTGGCCTTGCCACCTTTAATGAAACCACTCTGGTCCTGCAAGCGCAGAGCCAGCGCAGGTGCAGAGCCCAGAGAGCAGGGCCACAGCCTCGGCAGCACAGCAGTGTCCCCCCAGCCCATGAGCCACGGGCCGGTGTCCCCCAGCTGCCGTGGGCAAGGGCTGGCAGTCACTGAGGGGTGAATAACAGCCTGGCAGGCCTGCAGGGATGCTGGCACAGCTCCACGTTCCCCTGTCTTGTTCTTTACTCTTTTGTGGCAATTTTCTGTCTTTGCTCAGATCCATTTGCAATTCCCTTGTAAATCTTCTAAAGTAATTTACAAAAGAGAAACTGAATGTCTGTATGAAATCTCCCCTGACACTCACAAGGAGCCCAGAGGGGAGAAAAGTGACAGAAGAGGCAAATCTGGAAAGGAAAAATCCCTGGGTCTCCAGCTGCAGCTGCAATGCTGAGAACTCTCTTTACTACTTGTGAAAAATGCTTTGAATGTGGCCTTCTGGGGGACTCCAGAAGGATTCAGTTCTGAAGTACCCTTGGGAGAAGGTGAACGTGCTGAGCCCAGTCCCAGAGGTTGTATCAGAGAAAATCCCTAAGCTACCCCCTCCTGAAACTGGCTGTGCGGTAGCTCCTCACTTCCAGTAAACCTTGGAAAACAGATGCTGGATGGTGCTGAGGCTTCATTGGGCAGGAATGAACTAAAATAATCTTATGAGAACCTTCTTCGGGATGAGGACAAAAATTTCTAAGTTTCGGACAGAGAACCCAACCAGAGCCTGCTTCCCTGGCCTGGCAGCCCGAAGGGGACTGAGGATAAGCCCGTGGCTATAGGGGCTGAGCCTGGCAGGAACCCCTCACACCCCAAAACCTCCCTCAGCTTCCTGGGCCAGCTCTGGGTGCCTGTCCTGGACAGCTCCTGCAGGCAGAGCCGGCTGCCATGTGGCTGTGCCGCCAGGAGATGGAGGCTCTGTCCTGCTGCATCACACACACAGCAAATCAGCACAGGAGGAACAGTGCAACCACCACTGCCTCAGCAGTGCAACAAAGCACAGGGACAGGCAAACAAAGCACAGGGACAGGCAAACAAAAAGGAGTAGCTTATTTTTCACCTCAGGGTTTCAATAACCATGGCTGAAAAGACACCAGGTAAGAGCACGGTGCATGCTAGCACAGGCTGTAGCTCCAGACCTTCTGAAACAAAAGCACTCACACAAAAAGCAGGGATGCAGATGGGAAGGGAGCTGTGACCTCCCCTTCCCCAGGCAGAGCAATCACCACTGTGACACAGTGACACTCACAACCCAGTCTTGCAGCCTGCCCAGGCCATCAGCTCCTGAACACAACGTGGCCCCTGTGCTGTCCTGGCACAGCCCATGGCATCATCTCACTCATCCAGCTGTGACCATGGGGCACTGTCACCTCCCACTGCACAAACTGGGACCCGGGGCACAGCTAAGTCCTGAAATGTGGGGCTTCCCACAGCACTGAGGGCAACCAGAGCATCATGTGCCTTTCCCACACACATCCCTGGTTCACTGCACAGACTTTTGGAGTGGAGGAAGCTGAAATGCTCTGGAAAACAGGAACACAGCTTTGCCTGCAGGAAGCACCCCTGAGGTGGTGTGGGCCAGCCCCCCCAGGCAGAGAGGACAGCCACCAGCAAGGACACAAAGCTACTGATACCCTCCCAGAGCCCATGGGAGGCACTGACAGAGGCAAGAGACAGATTTTGGATTAGAAATGTATCTCCAAGGCCCTGTGCTGCAGAAAGCTGCCTTCTGTCCTCCTCCCCATGCCGCTGTCACCAGCCACACTGTCACTAGCCACACTGCCCACCACCAGCCACACTGCCACCAGCCACACCCCCATGTCCATGCCCCTGCAGCTCCTCTGGGATGCTGCCTCCTGCCTTGGGGCAGTGGGTGCAGCCAACAACGGTGCCTGAGCTCAGTTTCAACTCCTGAGAGCATGGTGGGGGGGAAAAAAAAAGTACTTGTGCACCTCAGTTTCTGGATGCCAGAGGGTGCACTGGCAGTCTGTCACTCTCACAAGGTGGCTTTGTCTCCTGGAGGTCAGCGCAGTGTCCCACTGCCCCAGGAGTGGGAGCCTGGCCCCTGCTCCCTGCCCCACAGCCTCTCTCTGAAGACGAGCAGGTGACCATCCATCACCAGCCATTGCTCTGTTGAATCTGGCAGGTGTCAAGTGTTCAGCCTGTTCTCTTGCCAGAAAGGATAAATATTAATTTTTGCAGGTGCAAGCCACCAGGCTCCACTCCCTTTCCCCAGAGAACAACTCCAGCCTGTCCTGTTGGCAGCAGCAGTCCTTTGGCACAGGCTGCAGAGGTGAACTGAGAAAAAGAAGGATAAGGGAGCAGGAAGAGGAACCACACCGAATATTTTCTCTGTGTTTTGCTTGGCCAGAGCTCAGTTTCTCACTGTTCCACCCAGCCCATGGACTACTGCTCCACACAGGGCAGAGGACAGTGAGGGCTTGGGGCTACCAGAACCCCTCCCAGCCCTGATCCTGCACCATCTCTTTGGGGCACTTGCAGCATATTAAGGAACAGAGTCCTTCAAACATCTTGGGGTGCTCATGGATTAGTTTGCTGATGTTAGCTTCCAGGTTTTTTTCATCAATGCTGGATCCATACAGGGGAATCCCAGCCCCAGTTCGGAGGGGCTGAGCTTCCCTCCCAGGATATGGATCCAACAACACAAGCAGGGGAGCTGTCCTGCCTCCCTTGGGCACAGCCAGCTCCAGCAGTGCAGTGGGGAGAGGAGCTCCTTGGGCTGGAGCTGTGGGGACACACAGCCCCTCTCTCCCTGGCAGCTCCTTCCAGATGAGCTCCCTCAGGGGCAGTGAAGCAGTTTCTCCAGGCTGGCAAAGGCAAGACCGACCTCCACCTGCACACTGAGACATCTTCACCTCCCAGTGCTCCTGCTCTCACCCCTCAGCCTTCACAGGAACCTGAAGCACTGAGTTACCCCCTGCCCAAGTGGGTGCCAGCTAAGACCTGCAGGGAGTCCTTCCAGATTCCCAGCACAGACCTGCAATCTGTGGTGGATCCATGAGCAACATCCATGCACCACAGTTGGCCCGAGGGCAGGAGCATGAAAAGTCCTGCAGATGGAGTGAAACCTGAGCAAACTGCTCCAGCTTTAACTGACCTGGCACAGCGTGAAGGAGTACATGACAGTAATTGATTTCTCTAAGTGCCATCAAGCTGCCCCAGCCTGTGGCTGGTTCTCCTTTAAGGAGGCTTTAGTGGCACCTATAGTCTTTTCTTAGCTCAGTGACCTAGAAACTGCATTAAGATGTCAAGAGAACATGCACAATACAGTGGAGAAGCCATTTCCCAAGAATCTGAAGAAAAGATCATTATTATTGAGAGATATGGCTTGGAGCCAGGGCACTCATTCAGTTGTCAGAGGTATAAATAAAAATGCAAAATAAAGCTAAGCTCAGCTTAAAAATACATTGATTGTACGTCACTGCTCAGCTAAAATCCACATACTCTATTCTGATCACAGTGACATTCACAGATACAGTCCTTTGAAGTGTAAGCCCAGTGATGAAGTGATAAGGAAAAAATGTTATCTTTTAAGATACACCCAAAATAGAGGACAAATCTTACTGAGCAATAAATAATTTTAATTAAAACTACTTTACAGCTGGGGATCCAGTAGTAGCAATGAGGTAATGCAAGGGGAACAGGTGGCTGCTTCATAAAAAGCCCAGTTCCACCACAAGCACTGCCATTTCAAGGGGGCTGTCAGCAGGTCCAGCTCTCTGCTTTTCCATGGCCACTTCCCAAAGCCTCACATGCCCATGTTTTGTTGGTGGAGCCACCCAACCAGATGTGAATGGCTGGAGGCAAACACCTTTGCAGGCTCTCCTGCCTCCTGCCCTGGTGCTGGAGCTCATTACAGGTTCTGTGAGCTGGGATTTGCTGGGTGACTCCCTGGCACAGTGTTTGCTCAGCAACCAGCACAGAACAGGCACGTGGGGAGATAATTTGACAGAAAATTGAGAACACATAATTCTCTATTCAGAGTGGCATTGGTTTCCTTAATTTTTCCTCCTCCTGAGCAACGTTTAAATCAATTACAATGAAATTAATGACTTTCACAAGCCATTTGCTGAGAGGATGGGCTGGGGGATTAGGCACTAACTGGGTTCTTTGCCACCCCCCAGCCAATTTAGAAAACATTCAGTGTGAAAGGCTTTTAACAAAAAAAAAAAAAAAAAGGCTCCTGCCATGTAGTTTATTAATGTGCTTTCCAAGCAGAGAATCACAGAAACACAGGAGGCTTGAG